GTTGGTGCCGCCCTTGCCGCTGCCGTCAGTCAGGCTGCGTTCGGTTCTTCAGCACCCGGTTCCCTCGGACCCATCGCCGCTTTTAGACCTTGCTGCGGACTCGAATCTTGCCGGGTGAGGCTGCTTCGGCACTAGCGGGGTCGTGGAGGGCAGTGAGCGAGCACGCCCAGGCGGGAGGCGGGCTCGGTAACGGAGGTGCCCGCAGTCGTCTCTTTGGACACCGGGGGCTAAGGGCTTCTCCCCGTCGTCTTCCTCTCGGCAGCCCGCTGCCCGCCCGGTCGCCCCCTAGGGAGAAAGCCTCGGAGGCGGGTGACGTCGCGCCCGACGGGTCTCTCGGCGTTGGACGTCAGGCCTAGTTGAGGGGCGGGGCGCGGAGCGGGCCCGGCCCCTCCCCCACCCCTTCCCGGCGGGCGCGCGACCCGCTCGGAGGCCGGTTCGCTCCGGTTAATCCTGGACTCCTTTTGTTCGTTTGGCCCTAAAGGGCGCCGGGCCTCGCGCCCCTCGGCTCTGACCCCCTCCGCCATTCATTAATTTCTAATGAAAGGGAGAGAGAGACTTGCAGACATTCTTGGAGTCGTCTTTGACGCTTCTCCAAGATTATTCTCAATGTGACAACGTTCTGGTCATTACTTTCTAGAGGAGTTGCTATGACAAACTATGGAAAGTGCTGAGTTCTGTAATACTCCCTTTAGGATTTATGAGCCCTTGGTGGCTCACAAGTAGCTGGACCATTTTCTTTTGAAAACCGAGAGTAGTGTTTTCAATAGATAAAGATAATAATGTTAAAGCATCGAACCATACTTACCCGACCATAAGAATTTTTTTATTGCTTTGGTACTAAAAAAAATACGCACTCGTACACCTCGTGGTTGTAAGGGCCTGTTTTGAAAACGAACCTTAATTACAGTCGAAGGTGGCCTTTGGAAAATTTTCCGAAGGTCTTTGCTCAGGAGTGTTCACTGGGTAGGAAGAATAGAAATTTTTCTTGCCGCTGGTTTGTGAAGCTCTTATTCAAATCTAGTTTATCTCAGAAACTTTTGAGTTGTGTATCCTGGAATGTTCTTTTCCTTTCTCCAGGAGGTACAGAGACCCGCAGCCCGACGCCTTAACCGAAATCCTTGGGATCTCTGTTTTGGAATTTAGAAATCTTTGGATTTTACGTTTAGATTTTAGGAGGACTGTAAGGTGCATAGATGAGAAAACACACCGGCAGAGTCAGGGCAGCATCCCTTAATCCAACATTATCAATATTTGTGCAGCGACAGGTAGGAATTAATGGAAACTAAAAATAACCTCAGGTCAGGTTTTGCCACCGAGTAAGATTTATGCCAAACTTGGGAGCATTTCTTTTTCAGAGGTTTCTGAATTGAGAACTGCAGATAGAGGTTTCTGGAACTATAATAGTGACTGTAAAAGATAACATTCATTTTTGCTATGTTGCATACAATGCTAAGAGATTTATTATATAAGTCTCAACAGCGAATCTGTGAGGTGGGTACTATTCTTGTCTACTTTCACCTCTGAGGTTTGGAGAGTTGGGTTTGTCCAGAGCCACCCAGTGAAGAGCTACAGTGTTAGCTAGTCATGCCTACAGTAAGGCAGTATGCCCATATGCCTAGGAAGACAAAACAATATATCTATTTCTGGAGCACTTTAACTATTAGCACTTGATTTGCCAGTCCCATTTAGTCTCTCACATTACTGGCCCATTCTTCATAGTTCAGGAAATCGGTTCATTCAGATGAGCTGACTCCGTGACATTCAAATCCTGGTCTTCAAACTTTCTTCCCCTTCCTATATTCCAGCCAATCTGAACTGCTTACACTCCCCAGATTTTCTCTTGCCTCCCTCTCAGCTTTTGCACAGACTGTGCTCCTTTGGCTAGGGCTGTCCCACCATCCCCTACTCCCAGCTCTTTCTTTATTGTTCTCCCAGACTGTAAGGATTCCTCCCTCCACCTCTCCTCCTTGATTCCTTTAGGAACTCTTCAAGATACTCCCAGAGCGCCCTGTGCTTACTCCAGTAATGTTACTGTTTAAATGGTGGTTCTCCGCCAGACTATCAACAGCCTTAAGCAGTTATTCCTTGTAACACCATTCATTTCCCCAAGGCTCAACACAGTTCCTGGTACATATGTTGCAGTGAGTATCTGGATGTAGAAAATATGGCTGGCATGAGGTTGTTAAAACAAATTATTTTTATATCAAGTTTTAAAGTACTTTAAAATGTTCAAAAACTGGCAAATCCCTTATTTCTTGAATTGCTCAAATATAAGATAGAGTATCTGATGAAAGCCAGTATGAAAAACTATCATGTATGCAATTCAAAATTTATATTTTCAGTACAGTTCATTATCCTCCCTGCCTCATACTAAGCAAATCAGTGCAGAAATCCTGATTTCCCTTAGTGACTCTTAATAAGTAACTTTCTTGTTTACAACACTTTATAGATTATTAAATATTTTAATTTTCTGTGAAGTAATCAGAAATTATAACTGTTTTGCTGATGAGAAAATGGTCTCTGGTGGAAAAGCTGGCTTTTTGTCAAAAGATTCAGACGAAAGGATTGATGTTCAGGTTTCATAACTGTGTAGCCCCATACTGTTAATGTCTCCTCCACAATTTGATGGCCCTTTGAAATACTCCTTGTCCAATAGTCACTAGTAGTTTTTGGAGTTCAACTTTTTTAAACCTCCCCCTGATTGAATTACCTTTTTTACTCTAAAGGTCATAATAGGCATTACAGAAATGTTTTACTTTTCTAGTGCATGTCATAAGAAATTTCGTGCTCTATTTTAAAATTACTCCTCTTGCTCCTTAGAAAAAAACAGCGATTATTTTTCAGATGATATGTAGATTCTGCCATAAATTGTTACTGGAAAGTTTTAAAAGTAATAGCTTTTTTTTTTTCCAAAAAGAAAAATAAAAATCTTTTTTGATCATCAACTTT